GCCGGCTACTTTAGCCGAGTTCACTCTCAACGGCGCCGACGGCTTGGATTTTTATGACGTCAGCCTGGTGGATGGGTACAACCTGCCGATGCTTGTGGTGCCACGTGGAGGTACAAGAGGGGGATGCAGCGCCACGGGGTGTCTTGTGGACTTAAACGGCAAGTGTCCCAGGGCGTTGAGGGTTGCGCGCGAGGGTGGAGGCGGGAGAGTGGCGTGTAGGAGCGCGTGCGAAGCGTTTGGGGATCCGCAGTTTTGTTGTAGTGAGGCGTACGCTACGCCCGACACGTGTCAGCCCTCTGTGTTCTCGCTGTTTTTTAAGCATGCTTGCCCACGCGCGTATAGCTACGCGTATGATGACAAGACTAGTACTTACACATGCGCCTCTGCGGACTACATTATAATCTTCTGCCCTTTGCCTTATACAAGGTACAATTACTATTACATGTTACACATATATTGTGATGTGTTATTTAATTTTTCTGGTACAAAATTTTACATGGGATCATATGATTGGTTGTTAATTAATCATGCTATCACATTATAACATAACGTGTACAGATTATAATTTATATGATTCTAACCGTGCGAGAAATGGACACGTTGAATTTTTTGTTAGGAATTATTTGAGCTATGAATGTGATGGCCATGTTGTAGGTGTGGGGTACAACTTACACGCCCCTAATTTGTGGTTTTTCACGATTGCTTACAACTTATGGCGACGTTTTTCAGCTGCCTCGAAATCCTTACTAATTTGCTATTTTAGTGGCACAAAGAAAACATAAAATGAGATAAAAGACAAAGAACAAGTTGAATTTTCAAGTGGGGTTGTTTCTGAATGACTAAACTAATTAGTTCAATCAAGGTTCAGCTATAAGTCTTATGATCGCAATGTGGTCAATATATATAGCAGAGAGAAACTATGATATGGTTAGACTTTGGGAGTTGAAGGTTGACATCTCTGCACATCATACAGTGCGTCATTTTGTTTGTTAGTATCTATCTGGTTTGTCACTGGTTGATATAATTTAAATTGTCTTTGGGACATCTGTGGTTAAAGATAATCATATTGTATGCATTTATATATTAACAATATATACGCGTTTGTCCCGTCTCTTGTTTACCCGTGATTTGGGAAAGTTGCATTAGTTGTTCATGAGGAAGATGTCAAGACCTATCCTATACCCCTTGAACACCAGAATTGTTGAACCTGTACAACAATTCAACTGCACCACTTGTTGTCTGTGATTCAATGTTGTCTCATATTCAAAATCACTTCATCGCATTTTTATCTCAGGATCATGAACAGACCAAATGTTTTTCTCTTCTCGTGAAGCCATGTTTGCTCTGTTTTGTTTTTTGTTTTTTTGTTTTTTGTGTGTGGGGGTAATCTGGAAGGTTTTGTTCGTATGCGTATATTTATTTCCTCTTAAACCTACAAGTTGCTGCATTTTACTTCAGGCAGTTAAAAGTGCTCTGTTAATTTGTTCAACTATTATAATGCATATTGCATAATGAATATGTTGAGTTCAGCACATTACAGCATTGAGTAAAACTTCATGAGCATAATTGGTGCCTTGTATGGAATTTGCAGTCTAAAGGTGCTGGGAATACGAAAAGATGGGGCGGTGCTACCGCTGGTTAACAAGACCATGATGTACTTTTAAGGAGCCATAGTGCTAGCAGTGTTTCCTCAGCTATGGTTTGGATGCCTCTAGTGCAGCAGTACGTTCTGTTTTCCAGTTTCGGTCACTTCTAGTACATGCTTTATATGACTAATATTGGTCCTCACGTTTCCGGGAAGAAAGTATTACAATCCCAATTGAATAGCAGGTGCCATGGCTGATACTAGCTATCCACCCATCACTCCTCACTGCATTTGCTATTAGTTCATCGGAAATGGTTGTGGGGAAAAATAAAATCCTTAAGAAATCTTGTAGATTAGTATTTGTTCACTCCTATGCAGTCATAAATACGTAGGACTGTTGGAATTTTGCCTCTGATGACTTTTTTCTTCAAAATATCTGTAATATTTGGAGAAACTCCGAATTCCCATCATTTTTGAGAAACTGCATGTTCTTATAAAGTAGTTATGCAGATGCTAGGTTAGGATGGAATGGAAGTGTATATGTAAAGATGCAGATATGGCATCTTATGTGTTTGTTTGTGGATATAAAGTTCACCCCACTAATGTGTTCTTTGTTGCCCCTTTGGTGGGTAAGGGAAGGACCCAAGTTACATGTGTTTGGGCTCACTATTCACAGCTCAAATTGGCTAAGAACCTGTGATGGCTCCAAATTTCAACCAAATGACTAATTCGAAGTAAAGATTGTTTCTGTTTACATCTATATATCCTTAAAAGAGACATGTCTCAGTCCAACACCATGTCAATTATTGTATTTAAACGTGGGAAAACCTTACGAGAGGCTTGTATTTCAAGTGGTTAATTAAGTGCATTTACCCATACACTCGAGGATCTGTGTTCAATTTCCTCCTTTCTCAATTTCGCTTGTATCGAGGTAAAAAAAAAAAGGGAAAAACTTCACAAATTTAAACATCAGAATGAAAATGAATAGACATGACATTGATTTGTCAATGTAGGGTTTAACATTTGGAAAGCAAACTTTACTATGATCACTGAGCTCTCATTTGTCATATAATCTGTTGAAAAATCACTACAGAGTTTACCCTAATCATATAACAAATTAAAATCAAACTAGAGGAAGACAAAGAAAAGAAAGGACCGTCTCTTGGCCTACTTTGTACACAAAAGAGAAGGAAAAGTTAAAAGAATAAAGGGAAGATAAGAAGTTCACTTTTACATAAGATAGAAATGAGAAACAAGATCACTTCACTTTACATATTCTCCCCACCTGCACTATAGGCACTCGAAGACAAATTCCCTCTTACAGAAAGTGGGTTCAATGGTCTCTGCAATCGTGCGGTTTGGACCCCCAATGATGCTTGCCCTAGAAAAATATTATGATAAAACAAAACAATCACATGCAAAACATTTAATTACTTGGATCCATGGGTTGAAAATGAGTCAAATAATTGATGTTACGCTTTCCTTCCTTTGGGAATTTTTTATGTATTGGGGTTTATTTGGTGTAAGTTGAGGCATCCATACGTGACAAGAGAATTTTGCCCATAAATTTTACATGAGAAATGTGGTTGGATTACATCAAGCACCTAAAATAACACTCTTCATGGGGATGAGACATGTAGTGCATTCATAGCAAAATCGGGCATCATCATTGGCTATGATTTTGTCCAACTTGTGCTAGAAAATCACCTAAATCATTTTCAAATTTTCAATATTTACAGAGCATTGCTCTTACAATGTCTTTTGAAGGATGTGGGGTGTTTCGTGTTTTTAGGAAAATCGGATATGAGGGGTCAATAGTTGAAAAATTTATGAATTTACATGTAGCTTTTATGTTTCATACAAAATTCAAAGAAGTTTATGGGATTTATTGAAGTCACAGCCACTTCAGATCTATATGGCTCTGCTTGTGTTTTGTACCAATTTCTTCTTCCTATTCTTTCTCAATCCGCAAGCTACACGATGATTAAAAATAGGCTTAAATGCAGTTTTGCCCCATAAACTAACCCATAATTGTCAATTTCTCCATCAGAAATGGATGAAATCATTCAAAATTTGAGGGCATGCACCTAATTGGCTATTTTTAACAAATTCGTATCCTTAATTTACCGAAAAAATAATAGAGGGTGCAAATTGACAATTATGAGTTAGTTATATGAAGGAGAAAAAAAGATTTAAAATCGATAAGTTTCTTCCATTTATTAACATTGAAACATAATCAAAGTAAAATTTGATAGCATCTATAATAGCGGACAAGTGATGTCACGAGGATTGCTCGATACATGTATCATACAATTTTTATTTCTTTTTTAGATAAAGATGATATGTTGCATTTATAATTTGGGTAATTACAAATATGTGGGAACAAATATTTCGGCTTTCAATCACAAGGTGCCATGGGAACAAATATGTGGGAACAAATATGAATTATTCTTTGAAAAACCGTAAATGCCTAGAGCCCAACCGTAGCTGAGTTGTGGGGTCTGTTTTTTGGGTTGAATTTGGCTGTTGAGAAAAAAGTAGATGATATGGTTATTGAGATGGATTCTGATACTGATGTGCTTCTTATTCATAGTAAGGTTTTGAATGCTTGTCATCCTAATGCTGGGTTGGTCAGCAGCTATAAAAGGCTTATGAATTTGTTTCGAAGGATCAAGCTTCAACATATCTATAGAGAGAGGAATGATGTAGCTGATGGGTTGGCTACTTGGAGTCACAATCTGGACCTGGGCTGTTATTATTTTGAGGAGAGTCTTGCCTGGCTTGGTTGTTTATTGCTTAATGATTCTTTGGGAGCTGTTAAGGCTCGTCTGATTAGTACTAGTTCTTCATAAAATAAAATAAAATTACAGGCTAAATTCAACATCCAAAGTAATTCAAAATTCCTCTTAAAAACCCTAAACACTCGAAATCCCTATCTAGACTCCAGCTCCTCCCAAATTCATCTCTCCCACACGGCTGAGTGCCATCATACACACAGCTCTGAGCACTCGATTCTTCCCATAGAGAAAACTTCATACCCTTTTTAGCTATTATTTCTCAAGGATTCAATCGAACTAACTTATACATCAGAGGGCCTTTCGCCAACACCCCCGAATGTGGTCTTTTACTCATGTTTGATTTTATAGGTACTAAAGAATAGGGAGAAGGAAGTTAAAAATGCGAATAATCTTCAAGTAAATATTCTTCCGTGAAATATTTGCACAAACAAAATACATATAACCACACAAGATGCATCGTACAATTTTTTGTACACCTAAATACTCGAAAGTGACTAAAATACTCACCCGATGTTTGTACTAATTACTCATTTTTCTTCAATAAAATACTATTGCTTTTCCCCTTAAAAAAAACCAGAAAGTGACTAAAAGATAACTTTTCAAGATCAATGTAACATTTAAGAGGGATTTAGTTATTGCATTAATATATAAATTTGATCTAATTTTGAAAGTTTAGAAGGGTCAAAATTTTCAAGCCTCAAAATAGGGAAAAACATGAAAAGAAGAGAGATGTAGGGAATCCAATGCTTCTCCCATAATTTGCACTAGCAGCAGAACGAGAACACACCGAACCCTACTGGCCCATGTGGAGCTTATCAACGGTCACTAAATCTGACGTGTCAACAGATTAAATGTTCTCTCATAGACCCCACCTTCCAAACAGTGACGTGGTGATTGAATATCATTATTTTCTTCTCTGTAGACTGTGGTGATGATGTGACAGCTCAGCCAAGAAAAAAGGCCTTTAGCGGGCCCCATTGTTCCCAAAGCTTCGACTCTTTGTTGACGTTACTCGTGTGAATAAATCATGCACAGTCCTACCATATGAAGCTACAGGAACAGCGTAGCTCCCGCGTTAATTTGTGTTTTTTTTTTTCGGTGGTAAATAAACATGCGTTAAATCTTTTACTGAAAAAAAAATGTGTTTTTTTAAATGTTTTTTTAATCAAAAGAAGAAGAAAAAACATGTGTTAATTGACCGTTAATCATATACAGTTAAAAAAAAACTAAAGTTGAAATAAATTCTTGATGGTATAAAAGCTAACATAAGTTACAAATTATATATCCCAATGAGAAGATAATTTTGAATTACTTGTTAATTGAGTGCGTAATATTTTGTTTTAAAGACACTCCGTATGACTTATATTGAGAAAATTTGGTTAGATTGGGGTATTCAAATTTATATATATTATTTTTTTATAAATTATTAAATACGTAAAGATAACTGCTCATAATCACTTGAACTTATAAACCCTTCGCATTAACGATATGCATTCCAAATTGAATTCTTTAAAGAATGTTTTAGATTCGGTCTCCCATTAAAAAAAAAAAAAAAGAGGGAACCATAATAAAGACGAGAGAGATGAGAGAGACTGACAGAGCTATTATTTTATGATTTGTATATCTCAAGCTCAGTCTCCAAGAGTTCCCACACAAACCAAATTTGTCGTTTTTAGCTGTAATTGAAACCCCATACCTTCTCTCCCATTCTCCATTCGTCATTCTTCACTCCTCTCCAGTGATTCTCTGCCCCTAAACCCCTGCATTGTCCTCACTCCCAACCCTCCCACGCCACCACCACCAACCTCATCCTCATAGGCCAGCTGCTCCACAAAAAGACCCATTTAACCTCATCCGCATGGATCCTTTCTCTTCAAGCTCACATAACCTCATTCTGAGCCTCGTTCTTTTACTGTTCTTCACTTTCAGAGGTAAAGCTTCAATCTTTGACTCTCTCTCTCGCTCTATCTTCCTCATGGGTTTGCCTTAATTTCTTCTGGGTTGCTCTCAAGACTTACATTTTCACTAACAAGCTACAACTTTCTCTCTCTAGCTTCATTGGTTTGCCTTCATTTCTTTTGGGTCGCTCGCAAAACTTAAAATTTCACTAACAAGTTTACACTTTGGTTCTCTCTCTCTCACTCTCTCTGTATTTTCTTGCAGGCGTTTCAGGCACGACGTTCACATTCGTCAACAGATGCGACTACACAGTTTGGCCAGGCATTCTCGCAAATGCCAACAGTCCTAGGCTCGACTCCACCGGATTCGAGCTCCCGAAGCAAACCGCCCGCACATTCCAAGCCCCAACCGGCTGGTCGGGCCGTTTCTGGGCCCGAACCGGCTGCAGTTTCGACGGATCCGGGTCCGGGTCCTGCACCACCGGCGACTGCGGCTCCGGCCAAGTCGAGTGCAACGGCGCCGGAGCCGCCCCGCCGGCGCCCCTCG